TCGTCTGTCCCATCATTGATATCATTAATGCCAACACTTTTGAATACACGGCCTCTCCTATAGTGAAGGGAGGCTTCAATTGGTTTGTCATAAATTTCTGTCAAGTGTTTTCTATGATAACCACATACTGTATCTCTTAAATTAAAGGGGACTTCACTTTAAATGGGATTCCGTTGCACACAATAAGCTTCAAACTAAATCTGATTTCATAAAACCTATTCCGTAATGAATTTTGTGTTTAATTTTTACTCTCAAAAGCATTAAACTAATGAAATATTACGGTATGAATCAGTTCGCCGACAATGGCGGGCGGGCTGTTCGCTATGGACCGCAACTATTACTTCGAAATGGGAGAGTATGACAGAGGAATGGATATATGGTTTGTATTCATATCTATCGTGGTATGTATTGTAGGAAATAATGCATTTATACTCTTAGGGGCGGAGAGAACCTCGAAATATCTTTTCGGGTAAACAACCGATGATTTTGTGATAAAATCATAAATGACTGACAATTGCTATGATTTGCAACAGATATGGTTATGCGGCGGAAGGCTTGAGATAATTCCGTGCTCTCGTGTGGGACACGTATTCAGACAAAGGCGTCCGTATGGTTCACCTACTGGTGAGGACACATTAACCTACAACTCTTTACGTGTGGCCCACGTATGGATGGATGACTTCAAAGTAATTTGAAATGTTAACTAATCTTTGTGTCATTAAATCATGAAATCTGATGTTTTGTTTAGAAATTTTATTTCATTCAAAGACCGGACGCTATTAACAAATCTTATGGTGATATCAGCGATAGAGTTGCGTTAAGAGAGAGACTGAATTGCAGTTCATTTGATTGGTATCTGAAGAACATATACCCAGAGCTGAGACTTCCGTCGCCTAAAGAAGACTTGGAGGAGAGGAAGAAAGCCATCAAAGAGAAGATGTCAAAGAATATGAAAAACAAATCAAATGTAATGATTAGAAAACTGCCAAAAGTTGTGGACAAATACTTAATACAACTCTCGGGAAGCGATCTGTGCGTCGAATCTGAATCCGAGGCCACATATAAGGGATCAAAACTTTTACTACAGAAATGCGCCCAAATTCGTCGACAGGTTTGTTGGCATTTATTTCAATTTTATAATCACTTTTATGAACATTTATTTGTGTCCAAAGCTATGGTACGAAACCGTTAAACACGACTTGAGGTTAGGCCAGAAGTTGTGTTTGGATTCCGATGACAATAAATATCCACATTTAGCCAAATGTCACGAAATGGGTAGCACTCAGGACTGGAAACACTCGGCTAAGGTATGTCCCACAGGAGTACTATTATAATTGTACATCAATTTAATGATTGTTTGTATTATAAATAGAAAAATACTGCCATTTATTCGATGGCCGCCGGTCTGTGTTTGGGCTCTCAGAGCGAGTCTGTGGGAGAGTATGTGATAATGTCTTTCTGTAACTCCAATGACAGCAAGAAATGGAATCTAATCTAAAAGATAGCATTTATTTACCACAAGTTCTTGGATTTTAGTGCATATTTATTTTATAGATATTTTATTTGTACCATATTTTGTATATTTATACCGTATTGTCTATTAAGTAAAATCAAGTAAATAAATCTCATTTTAAAGTAGAATTTATTTGATATCCAATTAATTTTGACAAACACTCAGAATGTTTCGAAACAAATGTCAAACTTTGGTGAGAAGACATAAAACTATTTGTTTGTAAAGAATATTCTTTTAAATTCTGTTTGATGTTTGATATAATGGTTTCGATGGTATCCTTGAGTTTCTCACTCGTTGTTGACTGCATTTGATGGACTGCTTCGACAATAACTTCTGTCACGACTTCACCGAAAGTTTCGATGATATGGTTGATAGCATTGATCACCGATTCAATGATGGCTTCGATGTAAGCAATGCTTGTGTCGGCCCTCTCTCGCAACTGAGACTTCA